GAACAAGCTCCTGTCTGGAGTCACCATTGCCCAAGGGGGTGTCCTTCCTAACATCCAAGCTGTGCTCCTCCCCAAGAAGACAGAGAAGAAATAAGAACCCAAGGTTCGTTCACACAAGACAACCTAACCAAACAGGCTCCTTTCGGAGCCACAGGATATCACTTAAAGAGAGAAATATACGACATCAACGTTTTGCAGGATAACACTCTATTTTACGTGTAATTAGCATAGTATTGTGGTAATTGAGTGAAATTGTTTTTGAATGGTGTAGATGTGAAGGGTTACTGCGGGGGCCTGGGGTGGGGGACTTAAACGGGACTTAGAAGGGCGCAAGAAGCAGCTTTAGCAGCAGCAGCAGCAGCAGCAGCAGCAAGGGAGGGATGAGACCTTCTTTTTAGTTTGCCTATTCATTGACAGTACACATTTACCAGCAGCATACATTGGAGTCATATTCTAACTGTTGACTAATCAGTGTGTGGGCTAGCCAATTTGGGATAAACAGCAAGAATGTAATGTCCTCAATGAAGTAATGACATAGTTCAAGATACAATAAGTCAGGTGGCCTGAAGTCTTTGACAGTGTCCCATTCAATAATATAGTAGTGCTTTAAAGGTGTATCACCAAGTTTACATGCTGAGTGTTCCGGTATGGGTACAGCGTTACTAACTAGCCAGATGTGTCTGTATCCTAACCTAATTCTGGCCACGACTACATCACACAGGCAAGTTGTTTGGACACTCTTCCTAGCCCCCTTGGTCCCTGTTCACCTACCTACTGTAGCAGTAAGTAGGTACCTGTTGTAAATCGAAAGGTTGCCAATTCGTATTCAGGGAAAGTTGTTGGAGCTTCTAAACTTGAACTGACACAATCCGAGGAGTGGTGACCCGAGGATCACAGACACTATCTCTCCCTTCCTAACCTCCTGCTCCTTCCTCTGTCCTCCCAAAATGGAACCATGCTATCGCAAAGGTAATAATACAGGTAGAGACAACAACATATTTTCCTATTGTCTTATTATATATTAATAACAGAAACGCTGCCGCCATCCCGGAGGCTTTACATTGTCTCACTGTTCATTCCCTCCACAATTCTTCCTCTTACTTCTTCTTCTTCTTCTTCTTCTTCTTCTTCTTCTTCTTCTTCTTCTTCTTCTTCTTCTTCTTCTTCTTCTTCTTCTTCTTCTTCTTCTTCTTCTTCTTCTTCTTCTTCTTCTTCTTCTTCTTCTTCTTCTTCTTCTTCTTCTTCTTCTTCTTCTTCTTCTTCTTCTTCTTCTTCTTCTTCTTCTTCTTCTTCTTCTTCTTCTTCTTCTTCTTCTTCTTCTTCTTCTTCTTCTTCTTCTTCTTCTCTTCTTCTTCTTCTTCTTCTTCTTCTTCTTCTTCTTCTTCTTCTTCTTCTTCTTCTTCTTCTTCTTCTTCTTCTTCTTCTTCTTCTTCTTCTTCTTCTTCTTCTTCTTCTTCTTCTTCTTCTTCTTCTTCTTTCTTCTTCTTCTTCTTTCTTCTTATTCTTCTTCTTCTTCTTCTTCTTCTTCTTCTTCTTCTTCTTCTTCTTCTTCTTCTTCTTCTTCTTCTTCTTCTTCTTCTTCTTCTTCTTCTTCTTCTTCTTCTTCTTCTTCTTCTTCTTCTTCTTCTTCTTCTTCTTCTTCTTCTTCTTCTTCTTCTTCTTCTTCTTCCATCAATACTTTATTAACGGTGTATGTAAGTTTCACCATGTTTTGCACTACAGCGGTAGAGCAAAGTATAATTTGTTAGCAATAAACCAAAAGCATATTTTATGGCCTAATCATCACTACATAGAACACCACCCATAAAGCATGATACTAGTAGACCACAAAAACTGCTATAAACACCCAAAGCATATTTTATTGCCTAATCATCACTACATAGAACACCACTCATAAAGCATGATACTATTAGACCACAAACTGCTATAAACCCCAATAATATACTATACTAGTGACTCTAATTGTGTTACCCAATATTATACGAAATAATACTATAAAACATAATAATAAACACACTAATAGTGTATATTAGTTGAATGCACAATCTGATGAGAAGTAAAAAAAAAAACAACAACATAACAATAACCTAGAAAGAGTGTAGAGTATTTTTGTGCAAACTATTATACTAGTAGATGGTCTAAGATAACTGTATGTGAAGGAAAAGGTGTGCTCTCCACTCAAACTTTCTTTTTATGAAATCTCCTACTCCCCAGCTGAGCGGTACGCCCAATGGGAAACAAAACGTGGCACATAACACGCCGCCCGCCAGCTCTGGCTCGGTGAATAGGAATCAGTAATCGGGCGGAGTATAAACAACACCGCCGCCAATGTGCTCCTCCCATCTCTGAGGAAATCTGGCGGGCAACTTAGTATTATATTAGCATGTAATAATAATAACAATAATAATAATAATAATACTACTACTACTACTACTACTACTAATAATAATAATAATAATAATATTAATAATAATAATATTAATAATAATAACATGCAATTTCATTTTATAACACATACTAACAAAATAGTGTATAGCCTACTATACTTAACTATAATAGGTTAGGTTGCGTAGGAGGATCTAAAAAGTACAGTAGTATACACACACACACACACACACACACACACACACACACACACACACACACACACACACATACATATAGACAACAAACTAAATTAGAAACCACACGTCAGTGAAGTTATCAAATCCTCCAGTTTCTGTCTCCACCTCCTACGCCGACTCAAGTCCCTCGGTGTTCCTGCACACGAGCTCCTCAGTGTTTACACAACATTCATACTTCCCAAGCTCACCTATGCCTCCTCCACCTGGTCTTCCTCCCTAAATGCCACACAACGTAAACACCTAGAAAAAGTGCAAAAGAGGCCATGCAAGATTATTCTCTACCCTTCCTACTCCACATATCAAGAAGCGCTCAACACACTGACCGACCCTTTAGACTCTCACTGACCATCACCACGACCTCATCTGCAAATTTGGTAAGAAGCTTCTACACCATCCCCGACACCGGCTCCTACTACCACCTGAGATCCCTAGTCCGAGAATTGCTCTTTGACACCACAACCGCATCCAGCCCATACGTGCACGAACTGATCGCTATAAGAACAGCCCAGTCCCAACCATTGTAAAAATTATCGATAACTTGTAATAAATCAGTGTACTCACTCCCAGTAAACACTACTCCTTGCACTGTCACTATGTTGAAATGAACTGTAGTTTGAGCTTTTCCCCAGCTAGTTATTATATGTCTAATTTGTGTCACTCATGTTACTTGTATATTATTTGTAATTCGTAACCCATTCCCCAAATATGTAACTGTATATTTTCAGCCTTCTGGCTGCCAAGCACTTTCAATAAACCGTTAATTATTATTATTATTATTTATATGTTGGCCCATACCAACTCACTCCCCTGAACCCTCCTCCCCACCGGACTATCAACAAGTTCTTGCCATAAGGTACTATCTCATTTGGCAAAGGAATGGAACCAGTGATGAATAGTGGTGAACAGTGCTTAACTCAGTGAAAAACAACTCGGCAGTTGAGTCTTACCCAAGCTAGCTAACCACCTTCACACAGTGAGGTCCCAGGTACCCAGTTATACTTCCCCTGAGACTCCACGATAGAGAGGCCTGGGACCACACCTCACCCACTTGAATGAGTGAGTCATGTCGACCACGTGGTGTCCCCAAGATGCTACGACACCACGTAGTGAATGTTTTGCTACAGCATCATCATGTGAAGTTCCTCATAACACCATCTGTGAGGTAACTGCTACATCATCAGGCCCCTCATAACGCCATCTGTGAGGGAGTTACTACACTACGTGTCTGGTGTTTAACATCTCACCTTACATGATCTACGCGTGCAAACATTAATCTGTATGTTCACTGTGTGCTCCTTCACCTTTCTCTAATGAGGGCTTTTGTTAAACCACCAATGTATGATGTACTAAGTCATTTGTGTCCAATGTATACTTTCGAAAAGCCCTTGTTTGGGGAAGGTAGGAGAGAGTAGTCGTCATTATTGTCCAAGCCACATTATTTATTTCTATATATAAGTAATGTAGGCTGGTTTTTAAATACCTCAATCCCCTAACGGTGCCGTTTGTATATTAAGAAATACCGAAGCCATACAGTACAACACCAGCGAATATGAAGTATCACTGTAACCGGCAACTGTTACTCACTCATACCTACATACATATATAGAGTCTTTACAGAATGATAGCAGACACGAGGAAGACGAACAACAAGAGGAGAAGAGTTAGAAGAAAATCAACTTCAAGCTAAGAAGAAGAATACCAAGACATTTCCTCCAAACAAGAAAACAACACACACAATCAAGCCGACCAAACACTGAGAAACCATGGCGGAACCCAACATGCACGGACGCTTGACCTGACTCTATCCTGCCGCATCCAGGCGAGTTGCTGCTTAAAGTCCCTCACGCAAGCGCTGTTTAGCCACTGCACCTATTCTATCCTCCTAAAATTCACTTCAATCCCCCCCTGCCACTAGCATGTTATGTATGTATGTATGTATGTATGTATGTATGTATGTATGTATGTATGTATGAATGAATGATAACTGCAACTTTGTGTATTAAAACTCATTACTCTTACCGAAGTAATATAGTGCGTGGTTATGTTATGTCATGTTAGGATAGATTATAAACTACATTGGGTTACATTTCGTGAGGTTCGGTGACGCTACAGGAAGTTAGGTGAGGTACCTGGAGGTTAGGTGAATGTTGACTGACTGACTGACAATTATTAGGAAGTGGTTCCAACACGTTCACACACAACCTATACTCATACCACAAGTCCAGAATTAGAGAGGATCATGTTATTGGATATATTTTCAACGATTTACTCAGTGTCTAACCAACTCTTTAGCGATTTAAATGTGGACCTAAAATTAGGTCCGTATATTTGTTTGTCGTGGTGGTGGTGGTGGTGTGCGCCCGTCCATCAGGTTGATTAACCACCAAAACCATAAAGGGTGCGGCCCTGCCGTTTCAGGGCATACACCACATCCATGGCGGTGACGGTCTTCCTTTTTGCGTGCTCGGTGTAGGTGACGGCGTCACGGATGACGTTCTCCAGAAACACCTTGAGGACGCCGCGGGTCTCCTCGTAGATGAGGCCGGATATACGTTTAACACCTCCACGCCGAGCTAGACGACGAATGGCGGGCTTGGTGATACCCTGGATGTTGTCACGAAGCACCTTACGATGACGCTTGGCGCCACCCTTTCCAAGTCCCTTGCCTCCTTTGCCTCGTCCTTTGCCTCATCCAGTCATGTTGTTGTGGTTGCTACTACAGGTGGTCCTGGTGTGGCTTCGCCCACGGTTTGGTGGGAGTAGGTGGCGTGCTGTGGACGCAGCGGTAGTATCGTTCATCCAAGGCCGTCCCTCCCTCTTGGAGGTGGGGCGCAGCTTGCGGATGACGCATGCGGCACTCGTGGCCAATGAGGTGGCCACTGAGGTGGAGAATGTCTGTATATAAGCCCGCCCGCCTGCCGGGCCGCCCGTATTGACTATTTCGTCGTCGAGATGGCCCGTACTAAACAGACTGCCCGCAAGTCCGCTGGAGGCAAGGCTCCACGGAAGCAGCTTGCCACCAAGGCAGCTCGCAAGTCCGCCCCAGCCACCGGTGGTGTCAAGAAGCCCCATCGTTACAGGCCCGGAACCGTCGCCCTTCGTGAGATCCGTCGTTACCAGAAGAGCACAGAGCTACTCATCAGGAAGCTGCCCTTCCAGCGCCTGGTGCGTGAGATCGCCCAGGATTTCAAGACTGACCTGCGCTTCCAGTCGTCTGCCGTCATGGCTCTGCAGAAACCTCTGAGGAACACCTGGTGGAATATTTTCGAGGACACCAACCTGTGTGCCATTCACGCCAAGCGCGTTACCATCATGCCCAAGGACATCCAGCTGGCCCGGCGCATCCGCGGAGAGCGTGCTTAAGTCCTCTTCCTTGGGGAAAAACAAAAAGCACAACAAAACCTACCAGACATCTATAACTCGGCCCTTCTCAGGGCCAAAGAACTGTTCTGAAGATAATTTTCATGACAATCGAAATGGTTGGTGGACGGAGAGCGTTAATTTCGGTTACCCAAATCGCCTAACGGTAAGTTGGTAACATTCGTGGAGGTACGATTGTATAGTAGGTCATCAATTCGGGAGGTGGGTGGGTGCAACAAACAAGAGCTAGTAACAAATAAATATATAAAGAAGAAGTAAGTAAATAAATAAATAAAATAAAAGAACATACAATAAAAAAAAAAAAAAAAAAATTGTTTACATGAAATAGGCGTGCTGCAAACAAGAAATGAAGCCCAAACACACTCCATGTATGTCACTTTGCAGTGGGTGTACAAATACTCCACGCAGAATTTATTTATTTATTTATTATGTTTCGATTTAGTCCGGTTTCTACGCCAATAGAGAATGCAGATTATTATAATTTTTTTTTTATTTATTTCCCTCTCAATATATCACTGTCGGTAACTGTCTCTTTAACATGTAACTGTGGCTCCGATGGAGCCGATTAAGTTGTAGTAGTGGGATGGCGTGTTTGTTGTGCACAAGTAACCTCTTACTTGGAAGAGGTGTACTTGGTGACAGCGTTGGTGCCCTCAGACACGGCATGCTTGGCCAGTTCACCGGGCAGCAAGAGTCGGACAGCTGTCTGGATTTCCCGACTTGTAATGGTGGAGCGTTTGTTGTAGTGCGCCAGGCGGGAAGCCTCGGCAGCGATGCGCTCGAAGATGTCGTTCACGAAAGAGTTCATGATGGACATAGCTTTGGAGGAGACTCCTGTGTCGGGGTGCACTTGCTTCAGTACCTTGTAGATGTAGATGCTGTAGCTTTCCTTCCTCCTGCGCTTCTTCTTCTTGTCACCCTTGGCAATGGCCTTCTGGGCCTTTCCAGCCTTCTTGGCAGCCTTTCCGGAAGTTTTGGGAGGCATGGCGGCACAGTTACTCGTGGCGCGGAGCGAGAGAATTGAAAACTGGCCCGACTAACTTTTCCTTATATACCGAGCGGGCCGCTCAGGATCGGACTGGCTGCAGCTACGGCTCTCTTACATTGGTTGGGTCCGCGAGACGGCCACCTGGCCTGATCCTGAGCTTGGTATAAAAGACCAAGGTGGCGGGCGGAAATTTAACTCCTATCACGAAAAGCAGCAGCAGCAACATGTCAGGACGCGGCAAGGGAGGCAAAGTGAAGGGCAAGTCAAAGTCCCGTTCTAGCAGGGCCGGACTCCAGTTCCCCGTGGGTAGAATCCACCGTCTCTTGCGTAAGGGCAACTATGCTGAGCGCGTTGGTGCAGGTGCCCCTGTGTACCTTGCAGCCGTCATGGAGTACCTGGCAGCAGAAGTGCTCGAGCTGGCCGGTAACGCCGCCCGCGACAACAAGAAGACCCGCATTATCCCGCGTCATCTTCAGCTTGCCATTCGCAATGACGAGGAGCTGAACAAGCTCCTGTCTGGAGTCACCATTGCCCAAGGGGGTGTCCTTCCTAACATCCAAGCTGTGCTCCTCCCAAAGAAGACAGAGAAGAAATAAGAACCCAAGGTTCGTTCACACAAGACAACCTAACCAAACAGGCTCCTTTCGGAGCCACAGGATATCACTTAAAGAGAGAAATATACGACATCAACGTTTTGCAGGATAACACTCTATTTTACGTCAAATTAGCATAGTATTGTGGAAATAGAGTGAAATTGATTTTGAATGGTGTAGATGTGAAGGGCGGTTGTGGGGGCCTGGGGTGGGGGACTTAAACGGGACTTAGAAGGGCGCAGAAGCAGCAGCAGCAGCAAGGGAGGCGACCTTATTTTCACTCTGGTTCATTGACAGTACACATTTACCAGCAGCATACATTGGAGTCATATTGTAATTGTAGACTAATCAGTGTGGGCTAGCTAGCCAATTTGGGATAGAGAGCAAGAATGTAATGTCCTCAATGAAGTAATGACATAGTTCAAGATACAATAAGTGAGGTGGACTGAAGTCTTTGACAGTGTCACATTCAATAATATAGTGCTTTAAAGGTGTATCACAAAGTTTACATGCTGAGTGTTCCGGTATGGGTACAGCGTTACTAACTTGCCAGATGTGTCTGTATCCTAACCTAATTGTGGCCACGACTACATCACACAGGCAGGCAGGAGCAAGTTGTTTGGACACTATTCCTAGCCCCCTTGGTCCCTGTTCACCTACTGTAGCAGTAAGTAGGTACCTGTTGTAAATCGAACGGTTGCGAATTCGTATTCAGGGAAAGTTGTTGGAGCTTCTAAACTTGAACTGACACAATCCGAGGAGTGGTGACCCGAGGGATGCAATTTCTCCTCTCCTTCCCTAACCTCCTGCTCCTTCCTCCTGTACTCCAAAATTGAATAAACTACTATCGCAAGGTAATAATACAGGTAGAACAACAACTTATATTGCTATATTGTCGCTGTATATATTATATAGAAACGCGCTGCCGCCATCCGGAGGCTTTACATTGTCTCACTGTTCATTCCCTCCACAATTCTTCCTCGTACTTCTTCTTCTTCTTCTTCTTCTTCTTCTTCTTCTTCTTCTTCTTCTTCCATGAATACTTTATTAACGGTGTATGTAAGTTTCACCATGTTTTGCACGACAGCGGTAGAGCAAAGTATATTTTGTTAGCAATAAACCAAAAGCATATTTTATGGCCTAATCATCACTACATAGAACACCACCCATAAAGCATGATACTAGTAGACCACAAAAACTGCTATAAACACCCAAAGCATATTTTATTGCCTAATCATCACTACATAGAACACCACTCTAAAGCATGATACTATTAGACCTGGCTATATAAGCCCCAATAATAAGCCTATACTATTTATAATTGTTGCAATATTATACGAAATAATACTATAAAACATAATAATAAACACACTAATAGTGTATATTAGTGACTATAATTGTGTTACCCAATATTATACGAAATAATACTATAAAACATAATAATAAACACACTAATAGTGTATATTAGTTGAATGCACAATCTGATGAGAAGTCAAAAAAAAAAAAAACAACATAACAATAACCTAGAAAGAGTGTAGAGTATTTTTGTGCAAACTATTATACTAGTAGATGGTCTAAGATAACTGTATGTGAAGGAAAAGGTGTGCTCTCCCCTCAAACTTTCTTTTTATGAAATCTCCTACTCCCCAGCTGAGCGGTACGCCCAATGGGAAACAAAACGTGGCACATAACACGCCGCCCGCCAGCTCTGGCTCGGTGAATAGGAATCAGTAATCGGGCGGAGTATAAACAACACCGCCGCCAATGTGCTCCTCCCATCTCTGAGGAAATCTGGCGGGCAACTTAGTATTATATTAGCATGTAATAATAATAACAATAATAATAATAATAATACTACTACTAATAATAATAATAATAATAATAATATTAATAATAATATTAATAATAATAGCATGCAATTTCATTTATATTTTATACTAACAAAATAATTAGCCTACTATACTTAACTATAATAGGTTAGGTTGCGTAGGAGGGGATCTAAAAAGGTACAGTGAGTATATATACACACACACACACACACACACACACACACACACACACACACACACACACACACACACACACACACACACACACACACACACACACACACACACACACACACACACACACACACACACACATACATATAGACAACAAACTAAATTAGAAACCACACGTCAGTGAAGTTATCAAATCCTCCAGTTTCCGTCTCCACCTCCTACGCCGACTCAAGTCCCTCGGTGTTCCTGCACACTAGCTCCTCAGTGTTTACACAACATTCATACTTCCCAAGCTCACCTGGTCTTCCTCCCTAAATGCCACACAACGTAAACACCTAGAAAAAGTGCAAAAGAGGCCATGCAAGATTATTCTCTCCCCTTCCTACTCCACATATCAAGAAGCGCTCAACACACTGACCGACCCTTTAGACTCTCACTGACCATCACCACGACCTCATCTGCCAATTTGGTAAGAAGCTTCTACACCATCCCCCGACACGGCTCCTACTACCACCTGAGATCCCTAGTCCGGGGTGCTCTTCTTCGACACCACAACCGCATCCAGCCCAGCCCATACGTGCACGAACTGATCGCTATAAGAACAGCCCAGTCCCAACCATTGTAAAATTATCAATAACTTGTAATAAATCAGTGTATTCACTCCCAGTAAACACTGCTCCTTACACTGTCACTATGTTGAAATGAACTGTAGTTTGAGCTTTTCCCCATCCAGTTATTATATGTCTTATTTGTGTCACTCATGTTACTTGTATATTATTTGTAATTCGTAACCCATTCCCCAAATATGTAACTGTATATTTTCAGCCTTCTGGCTGCCAAGCTCTTTCAATAAACCGTTAAATATTATTATTATTATTATTATTTATATGTTGGCCCATACCAACTCACTCCCCTGAACCCTCCTCCCCACCGGACTATCAACAAGTTCTTGCCATAAGGTACTATCTCATTTGGCAAAGGAATGGAACCAGTGATGAATAGTGGTGAACAGTGCTTAACTCAGTGAAAAACAACTCGGCAGTTGAGTCTTACCCAAGCTAGCTAACCACCTTCACACAGTGAGGTCCCAGGTACCCGGTTATACTTCCCCTGAGACTCCACGATAGAGAGGCCTGGCACCACACCTCACCCACTTGAATGAGTGAGTCATGTCGATACGTGGTGTCCCAAAGATGCTACGGCACCACGTAGTGAATGTTTTGCTACAGCATCATCATGTGAAGTTCCTCATAACACCATCTGTGAGGTAACTGCTACATCATCAGGCCCCTCATAACGCCATCTGTGAGGGAGTTACTACACTACGTGTCTGGTGTTTAACATCTCACCTTACATGATCTACGCGTGCAAACATTAATCTGTATGTTCACTGTGTGCTCCTTCACCTTTCTCTAATGAGGGCTTTTGTTAAACCACCAATGTATGATGTACTAAGTCATTTGTGTCCAATGTATACTTTCGAAAAGCCCTTGTTTAGGGAAGGTAGGAGAGAGTAGTCGTCATTATTGTCCAAGCCACATTATTTATTTCTATATATAAGTAATGTAGGCTGGTTTTTAAATACCTCAATCCCCTAACGGTGCCGTTTGTATATTAAGAAATACCGAAGCCATACAGTACAACACCAGCCAATATGAAGTATCACTGTAACCGGCAACTGTTACTCACTCATACCTACATACATATATAGAGTCTTTACAGAATGATAGCAGACACGAGGAAGACGAACAACAAGAGGAGAAGAGTTAGAAGAAAATCAACTTCAAGCTAAGAAGAAGAATACCAAGACATTTCCTCCAAACAAGAAAACAACACACACAATCAAGCCGACCAAACACTGAGAAACCATGGCGGAACCCAACATGCACAGGACGCTTGACCTGACTCTATCCTGCCGCATCCAGGCGAGTTGCTGCCTAAAGTCCCTCACGCAAGCGCTGTTTAGCCACTGCACCTATTCTATCCTCCTAAAATTCACTTCAATCCCCCCTGCCACTAGCATGTTATGTATGTATGTATGTATGTATGTATGTATGTATGTATGTATGTATGTATGAATGAATGATAACTGCAACTTTGCGTATTAAAACTCATTACTCTTACCGAAGTAATATAGTGCGTGGTTATGTTATGTCATGTTAGGATAGATTATAAACTACATTGGGTTACATTTCGTGAGGTTCGGTGATGCTACAGGAAGTTAGGTGAGGTACCTGGAGGTTAGGTGAATGTTGACTGACTGACTGACAATTATTAGGAAGTGGTTCCAACACGTTCACACACAACCTATACTCATACCACAAGTCCAGAATTAGAGAGGATCATGTTATTGGATATATTTTCAACGATTTACTCAGTGTCTAACCAACTCTTTTGCGATTTAAATGTGGACCTAAAATTAGGTCCGTATATTTGTTTGTCGTGGTGGTGGTGGTGGTGTGCGCCCGTCCATCAGGTTGATTAACCACCAAAACCATAAAGGGTGCGGCCCTGCCGTTTCAGGGCATACACCACATCCATAGCGTTGGCGGTCTTCCTTTTGCGTGCTTTCGGTGTAGGTGGCGGCGTCGCGGATGACGTTCTCAGAAACACCTTGAGGACGCCGCGGAATCTCCTCGTAGATGAGGCCGGATATACGTTAACACCTCCACGCCAGGCTAGACGCGCGACGAATGGCGGGCTTGGTATTCCACCTGGATGTTGTGCAGAAGCGCGCACCTTACGATGACGCTTGGCACGCCACCCTTTCAGATCCCTTGCCTCCCCGCACTCGTCAGTCATGTTGTTGTGAGTTTGCTACTACAGGTGGTCCTGGTGTGGCTTCCGCCCGCAGTTTTGGTGGGAGTAGGTGGCGTGCTGTGGACGCAGCGGTAGTATCGTTCATCAAAGGCCCGTCCACTCCCTCTTGGGTGGGGTAGCTTCGCGGATGGCGCATCTCGCGACACTGATGGCCAATGAGGTGGCCACTGGTGGAGAATAATGCGTATATAAGCCCGCCCGCCTGCCGGGCCGCGCCTGGAAAGAGGGTCGCAATCCTTATCCTTCCCAAATAGGCACACTTAGCTCACGTCTATAAGTGAGCAGTCACATACACTAGGAAGTAGGCTTCCCCAATCGGGGCTCCGTGAGAGAAGCTCAGGAACCACTCTACGACCACCAGCTAGTGGGGAGTGCTGTAATTCCTTTGCTGTTTACTCAACCGGAATAGGTAGGATCTAAAACAACAACAACAACAACAACAACAACAACAACAACCCGGTTATGGAGCGCGTACGCCCTCCTAACCGCGATCCCCGCCTGAACCGCCAACCTGACGACCCGAACCACGACAGGCTTCGCACAGAGAAAGCAGACCAGTTACGCGCCTTCAACGAAGCCCTGAAAAGCAGGAACTCTGCCACCACCTCCAACAACTCCACCACCACCACCACCTCCACCACCACCACCACTGCTACCGCTACTGAGGACAACTGGACGAAGGTAGAAAATAAGAAACGCCGACGTGCCCTTTCGGGAAACGATTGCCGTCAAGCAGCCCCCAAGGCACCCATCACCACCACCAGCTCACCTCCAACGACACTGCCAAAATTCCGGATCACGAAAACGGACGCAAAAACAACATATGCCGCCGTCACAGAGATGGAAAAGCAAAACCCACTGGCCAAGTTCTCAGTGCGGCCCAACCTAAAGGGGGAGATGATCGTTCACCCCAAAGACAAGAACTCCGCCACCACCCTCGACACTTACCTACAAAACACCACCACCATTACTTCAACCAAGCTAGACCCCGCCCAGAAACTGATGAAGTCGGTAGTCCTCCGGTACCCAAAGGAACTACCTCTCGAACCCCTGGAGAACCACCCGAAGATCCTAAAAGCCGAGAGATGCTCTCCCCTGTCCGACAAGACGGCCACCACGAAACAAGTGCTCATAACGCACTACGGCTCACCCCCCAGCACCATAGACCTCAAAACCTGGGGGATCTACGAAGTGAGGCCCTTCGTCCCAGAGCCCCTGCGGTGCTTCAGATGCCAGAAATACGGGCACCATCAGCCAAGGTGCACGTACAAGGAAATCTGCGCAGTCTGCGCACAGAAGCACGGCACACACTCCTGCCTCACCAAGCTGAAGAATGGGGAAAAAATTGCCCCCAAGTGTGCCAACTGCGGGGGCAAACACCACGCCTGGAATCCTGGATGCTCCGAGAGAACAAAGAGGGTCCAGGCAAACCGACCAGCAGCAAGACCGGCCCCCACCGCCTACACACCAGCCCCACCAAGTACCTTCGTGTGGGGAACCCAAAGGCCCAAACAACAGAGACAACCTCCTCAGCCAGTCAACACCCAAAGTGCAGCCCAGTTTCCTGGCCTCACTACAGCCACACCCCAGCCACCCAAGCAGCAGACAACGACAACCACGAGCAAGACAAAAGAAGCACACACCAAGGCACCAGAAGGAATGATACACTTATCAGACCTAGCCAAGGTACTGACAACCTTCGCGGAGGGCCTAGCCGGACTACTGGGCCACAAGATCCAACCCACACAGCTCCAATTACTCATGGGGAGCGTCCTCGGGCAAGTCGCCACAGCTCCAGACACCTCAGTGGAGGAAGCCACGCCGGTCCGCACACGAGTAACAGCCGAGGTACACTCTACACCGAAGAAGGCCACCAGAGAACCCAAGATACCAACAGCTCCCAAGATACCCACAGCTCCCAGAAAGAAACTGGACGGTTCAACTCCCCTGAACCGAACCACGGCCCAGAAGGCAAAAACCACAGAACACGAAGACATGGACTTGATCCAGTTGGAATCGAGCTTGGACATCTCCATCGAGAAGCACCAGAAGTCCCCGATGAAACAGTGGTGGAAAACGTCAGCACCCTGAACATCCTTACATGGAATGCTCAGGGCATCAAAAACAAGAAACACCTCCTACAAGAAGCAGCAGCCAAGGACAAGCTCGACATCATACTCCTACAAGAAACACTTCTACAAGAACACCACTGTTTCAAATTCAGCGGTTACAAGACATACAGGAGGCATTTCACGCAGGCGTCAACAAGAGGATGTATGATCTTGGTCAAGTCAAGCATACCCTCCGCCGATGTCACGCAGCAATTTCCATGTGGGGAAAACATCGAGACACAGGCCGTCAAAGTAACCCTCCAAGAACAGGAATTAACTGTTCACAACATCTACAAGAACCCAAGGGGCTCACTGGAGGTTACTCAATTATTTGCTTCGGCCGCTGACCACGCCACACTCATAGGAGGGGATTTCAATGCACATCATCCCTTCCTAAGCTCGGCAAGCCCCACAAATGAAGACGGCCTACACCTATACACCACCTTTCAAGATACACCCGAGATCTGCCTCCTGAACACCGGAGAGCCCACCCACACTAGGGGAGGAAGGCTAGATCTAACCTTCGTCTCCAGTACACTACAGCCTTCGGCCTCCTGGCAGATACACCCCACGCTGACCAGTGACCACTTCGCCACCCTAACAACGCTGAAGGTGAACAAACTCCCCACTCCACCCCCCCCGAGATGGAGATACAACACTCAAAAGGCAGACTGGGGACTCTTCAAGAAACACCTGGCTAAGTGGCGCGAAAAATCACAGCCGGCCGGCGCAGCACCCGCGGATGAGACAACCCTCCACCACCAATTGGTCGAGGCGTTTCACCTAGCGACAGAAGAGGCTATCCCAAAAACAAAACCCACATCAAGACAGTACAATGATTACTGGTACTACTGTCCCAGGGTGAAAGAACTCAACCACAGAGTGAACATGGCCCGAAGAAACTACAGGAGACATCACACGGCAACAAACAGACATCTCCTGCAAGTCATAGTTAAGGATACCAGGGAAGAGAAGGAAGAAATTAAAAACGTAAGCTGGCTCAAGTGGTGCTCCGAACTGAACGAGCACACCTCCCTTGGCAAGATGTGGGCCCAGATCCGAAGGGCATCTGGGAAGGCAACACCACCACCACCAACTCATCCCAACCCAGAAGAGGAAGCCGAGAGACTTGCAAAACTGTTCTCTGACCGAGCAGCAACGAAGAACCTCCCGAGACAGGCGGAGGAGACACAACGGCGTCTGCGACAGGTCAGACTCCAGACGATCCAAGAGGCCTGCAACAGTGAAGATGACACTGACAGACCATTCAACCAGCAAGAACTCCAGAAGTCGCTAAAACGAAGCAAGGACACAGCTCCAGGGGCCGACAGGATAACCTACTCCATGCTTTCTCATGCCGGTACAGCCGGACACGAGGCTCTGCTGCAAGCCATCAATGCTTCGTGGACAGCACAAAGACTCCCACCAGAATGGAAGAAGGCAGATATACAGCCCATTCCGAAGCCCAGAGAACCAGACAAACCGAGGCCCATCTCCCTTCTCAGCTGCATAGCGAAGACGGGAGAAAGAATGGCTCTCAACCGACTCAAGTGGAAAGTAGGCAGCCCACACCCTCACATCTTTGCTCACACCGAGAACACCGGCACAGGCAACAACATCGCCGAGATACTCAGCACAGTGGACAACAAACCAGCTCTGGTGGTCTTCCTCGACCTGGAGAAAGCCTTCGAACTAGCAAATCCTTTGGCCATTACAACTACGCTCGCAAAAAAAGGCGTCAAGGGAAGGTTGCTGGGGTGGATCCAGAACTACCTCACACAGAGAGAAGCACGAGTACGCTTTCAGGGAGCAACCTCAAGCTACAGGGTCCATGAAAACGGAACCCCACAAGGAGGCATCCTCAGTCCAATGCTGTTCAACGTCCTGATGGAAAATCTAGTCAAACTTCCCTTCAGACAAACAGCCAAGCTCCTATGCTATGCAGACGACTTACAGCTTATAGTAAGAGGATCGAACAGACTAGCCAACACGCAACACGCACTCCAACTCATAGAAGAGGAGTGCAACAGACTTGGACTCAAGATAAATCCAGCCAAGTCGAAAGCGATGGCCATCTGCACAGACACACCAGACAAGACGCTCTCCATACAAAACACGCCGGTAGTCTGGACCAACGCCCACCAGTGTCTTGGAATCTGGTTTGCCAAAAACTCACCTTCAAGCCGCAACTCGAGTATCTCAGGCACAGGACGAAGAGCAGACACAATATAATGAGGTCGCTCACCAGCAAATCCGCAGGAGCAAACCTTCATGTGCTCAAAGCCTACTACACGGCCGCCATCAGATCGCTGGTAGATTACAGTGCTCCAGCACTCATTGGACTGAGAGAAGACCAAATAGCTAAGCTAGAAGTCATCCAAAACAATGCTCTCAGGACCATGCTCGGAGCACCCATGTGGACCAGAATTTGCAATCTGCAAATGGAAACCGAACTACCACCCCTGGCAGTACGAGTCAAGCAGGTGACAACCGGTCTCCTCGCCAAAATCTGTAGAGCAGACAAGCCCACAGTTGCCAAGATTCGAATCAGTGCCTCCCTCCACCTCGACCACAGAGTGCGAGGGGCCACCTGGTCGCACGAGGCAAGCGAGGTCATCCGACACCTGCAAGCAGAAACACTCGTCAAGAACAACCAAGACACACGAGACAACGGTTACACTGTTCCTCCACCATGGAGCCCTCCACCAGCCACACTCAAATTCACCGACCTCGGCGATAGTAAAGCCAACCTCCAGAAGGAGGACCTCCAAAAAATATCTCTCCAAGCCATAGCCACCGAGACACCGGCTGAAGCAGCATCATACTTCACAGACGGCTCGGTGGACCCAAAACATCACAGATCCGGAGCGG